CCGCAGCCCGGAGCCAGGGCGGTTCCGGGACGGTTCCGGGAGCCGGGACTCGGCCGCCCCGCGCTCCGTGTTCACTCCGATAAGATCAGATTTTAAGAAGCCCCCAGGCGCTGAACCCTAGCAATCTGTCTGCAAGCCGCAGGCGAATTGCAGCCTGAAATTACCTGTTCTATGGCTGAATGAGCTGCGGTCAGTCAAAAACAGGTGTGGTGACGTCAGTTTACCAACATGGTGGCTGCTGGCCTCCTCTGTGGTCTGACCGGTGTGGAGAACCGAGATGGACCGCTTCCTTCCCCGTCTCGAACCCAGAATTCAGCCCTGAGTGCGGTGCTTGCGCGGCTGGCAGAAACTGCAGGGCTGTAACCCTGCGTCTCTATCCCAGCGCGCGCTGCAGACTCTAGCCGCGGGGCGATTTGCTGAATAAGCAGTTTTACCCTCCGTGCGACAAACCTCTCGCGTTTGAGTCCCCGTAGCCGATCCTCATGCGATGGAAATCCTTCCTCCAGGTTCCGGCGCACCCCACTATTGCTGGAAATTCCTAACAAGATATCCTTTAGCCGTCCTGACTTGTCATACTCCCACACAGTGAAGCAGCACACGGGGGTAATGCACTCCCCTCGCCGCCATCTTCCCTCTCTCTAAAAATAAAATTTTTTAGTTTAAAACTAAAATGTGGCCTTGCTTTGAAATGTGTCTTCAAACTGTATAGTGGCTTATCATAGATATTCAACCTATTAAGATATTCAACCTATAAATAACAGCTACTTCTGAACAAGAAAATTAAGCAAAAAGGACAAAAGCAATCATTTTATAGGTATAATAAAAGATGACTTTCCAAATCTGGAAAATAGTAACAAACTAAGAATTAGTAAGCACTGACTATGTGCCAGTTACTACACTCAAATCTGTATTCATAATGCCTCATATAATCTTCAAACAATTCTATGAAGATAATATATTAGGTCTAAAGATTACAAATAATTTAAAATAAGAGCAAGTTTTAAAGACCACATTCTTCAACCAAAAGTAAAAAAACAAAACTTCAAAACAAGTATGTGGTGAGCCGCTTCTGCCATTTCTGCAGACTATGGTCGCCATTACAAGATGGAGCTGGCTCCGCTGTGGTCTGTGACAAACAACTCCTTATTTGGGAGAGTTGGCGCGTGGTTTTTCACCACCCTATGAGAAAGCTCCACGTGGCAGCTTCGCATTGGGGCTTGAGATGCTTTATTAAGGCTGGGAGGGGCATCCGAGAGAGAGAAGAAGAAATATCAAGGGCCTGAATAAACTGCTGAAAGAAGATTCCTGAGTTGCGTCTTCCTTGCGGGCAAGGGGTCGCGACAAGTGGTGCCGAGACCCGGGAACCAGAACTTTCAGCAGTCAGGGGTGGTGCACCGGTTAGTCCCAGGTAAGTGGGATCCGCGACCAAAGCGGGGTTAGTCCCAATAAGTGGGATCCGCGATCAAAGCGGGGTTAGTCCCAGGTAAGTGGGATCCGCGACCAAAGCGGGGCAGCTCCTCTGTAAAGAAAGAGAGAGCATTACATTTTATTGCAGCTGCACTGTGTACTTTCGCTTCTACTTTCGCTTTTGTTTTCTGTGTTTCTTTTGTTGTGTCATTTCGCTTTTGTTTTTTGTGCTTCTTTTGTTGTGTCATGGGTGCCGCATCTTCAAGTCCGCTTCTCCTGGCCCTAGATGGCCTGTTACGTTCCAAGGGCCTGGAAGTGAAATATAGTACTTACAATGCCACTCATTTCAAGGCCTCCCCTTACTGTACCCCTAATCTTGGTTTCCCCCCAACATTTACACCTTGTCAGGATCATTCTTGGGAGAAACATCAAGTTGCTAAAGGTTTCTCCCTTCCCCCCTCTTAAGAGGCATGTTTATAACTTTAACAACAGTGCCAACTCCTCTACAGGAGTAGGTTGGTCCTGGTTTCAATGGCTGATTTCCAATGAGAAGGGGGCTTCAGCCGATATTTCTGCATTGGCTCAATTGCTGGGAGCCAAAAGCTGGCTGGCTAATGTTTCTGGCACTGTTAGGGAGAGTGAACGAGGTAATAGACTTACATCTGTTTCGTTCAACTCTCTGCTATATAATGCCACATTGCCCCCTGCAATGGTCTGTGTCCAATCCCCGTTCTTGCTCCTTTTGGCTAATGACACCTCGTCGGGGATGCTGGATTGTTCTAATGTTACCTGTCTCTTATCTGAGTGTTGGAATGGTTCTTGGACTGTAGCAGTGGTTATGAAAATTCCAACTTTTGTCCCAATCCCAGTCACTGCGGACCCAGATAAATTCCCCATTGTTGAGCTAGAGTCCGCAGGGATTTTGGAATTACGGCAGCTATAGTGACAGCTGTGGCAGTGTCTGCTGCTGCAGCGGTTACGGCCGGAGTGGCCATGGCCAGTCAAGTACAAACTGCTGCCACCATTAATCAAGTTGTTCAACAAATTTCCACCATACTTGAATCCCAAAATACAATTAATCAACATATTTTGTCAGGGATTTTAGCTGCCAACCAAAGAATAGATTTACTCCAAGCTCAGGTAGAAGAATTGGCTGACTTGGTGCTTTTGGGTTGTGTTGACCAACGTGCACATTTATGCATAACCTCTGTCAGATTTAATGATTCCAGGAATGCCTCCCGCATCATTGGCGAATATTTGGCCGGAAATTGATCCATGGCAGCGGAAGACATGATCCAGTCTCAACTAACCCAGATAGCTGTCTTGAACAGTACCCGTGTCGATCCTGTGACTTTGGGTCAATTCACCGATTGGATATCTTCTGCTTTTTCCTTCTTCAAAGAGTGGGTGGGAGTGGGCATTTTTGGTGCAATGTGTTGCTTCGGTATGTTCCTCTGTTTGTGGTTTCTCTGTCGCCTTAAGGCCCGCAGTGCTCACGATAAGGCTATGATCATACAAGCTCTTGCAGCTTTAGAAAATGGCAACTCACCTCAAGTCTGGCTTGCGCATCTTAAACAGTAAACCTTTGTCATGGTCGTTACACCCCAAGTTATTATAACATTGCACTGGGATCGACATGACTTTCCTTGTTATTCTCTTAGTGTTGGAAAGCCCTTGCACTCTGCCGGTGCACGCAGATGGGTTTCCACACTAGTGCTTTTCTATCGTCTTAAAGTCCGTGCCTTTCTTTCAGGGTGCTGTCAACTTGTTTGTCGTTATAAACAGCCACAGTTCAGCCTCAGCTATCCCCCTTCATCCACCATCGTCACGATACAGGATGCGAGGCAAGGCACTGCACTTGAGTGATCCTTGACGTGGACCTCAAGGAGAGCATGTCCTATTGCATGCGGGTTAGACGCGTCCACGCCCCGCCCCACGAAAAAAGGCGTCGGCTGATATGGGACCAGGTCTGGGGAAGGGCCCTCCTTAGGACTGAGCCATACTATGCAGCCACTTCTGCACAGTGGGATAGGACCTCTACTCTCGCCTGTATTGTTTTAAGAAAACAGAAAGGGGGAACTGTGGTGAGCCGCTTCTGCCGTTTCTGCAGACTATGGTCGCCATTACAAGATGGAGCTGGCTCCGCTGTGGTCTGTGACAAACAACTCCTTATTTGGGAGAGTTGGCGCGTGGTTTTTCACCACCCTATGAGAAAGCTCCACGTGGCAGCTTCACATTGGGGCTTGAGATGCTTTATTAAGGCTGGGAGGGGCATCCGAGGGAGAGAAGAAGAAATATCAAGGGCCTGAATAAACTGCTGAAAGAAGATTCCTGAGTTGTGTCTTCCTTGCGGGCAAGGGGTCGCGACACAAGTACAAACAAAAGTTCCAAAATATCTGGAAATCACCTAGATTAACAATGAATTTAAAAGGAAACCTAAAATACAAAACCAGATTATTTAGAAAAAAAAATAAACATGGAAAGTGAGTATCAAACCCATATCATAAATTCACAGCTGTGTTTAGAAGTAAATGGCTTAAAGAATTTTTTATTATTTAAAAAAGAAAAATTAATATCAACATAAAAATTTTAAAAAGAACTGAAGAAAAGACTGATATTTGACTTCAGGCAGGCAAGAAATTTCTAAGTATAAAAGAAATGGCAAAAATAAGAAAATCAAATTTAATGTAAAATAAAAATGACAGATTTGAGAAAATATATGCTATAAATAAAATAGATTAATATTTTTAATGCTTAAATAAGTCCAAAAGAAAAGACCTCAAGCAGGGTATGGTGATACATTCCTGTAATCCCTACTGGGGAGGTTAACGCAGGTAAATCTCAAGTTCAAAGCCAGCCTTACCACAACTTAGACTGTCTCAAAATAAAAATTTAGATGGGTTAGGGATGAAGCTCAGTGGTAAAGCCTCTAGTACCAAACAAGCAACAAAAAATAGAATGCCTCAAAAGATTAATGTGCAAAGGTAATTAATGTGCAAAGACAATTTCAAAAAGAAGAAATTCTAAGAAGCAAACCTGAAAAATTCCAAAGCTTATCCAAAAATTTAAAACTACAGGGCTGGGGTTGTGGCTCAGCAGTAGAGTGCTCACCTACTGCGTGCAAGGCCCTGGCTTTGCTCCTCAGAACCACATAATACATAGATAGATAGATAGATAGATAGATAGACAGACAGATAGATAAAGGTATTGTGTCTAACTACAACTAAAAAATAAAGAAAGTATTTTTTAAAAATTAAAACTACAAATCACAAATACAATGTGTTATTTTTATCTTTTAAATTATCAATAAGTTAGTAATAAAATCCCAAAACAAAACATTTTGGAATCAGCACTTTCATATGATTTTTGTTGTATTGCATCATTTACAATAAAATATATTGTAAATCATTTTATTATCAAGTCATTTAAATCACTTCAATGACCTAATAAATTCTTCCACTTGAAATAAATTCTATCAAATTCAAAATCAAGGGGAAAAAAACCTACGTTTACTTCAGAACTAGCTATCATAGTGAAAAACTGGAAAATTTAGATACTCAAAAATGAAAACAGAGCCTCCCTCAGCCTCCGCCATGGCAAATGGCAGTGGCGCCAGGTCGTCGGGAACCTCAGCCGCGAATTTGAATGCGGTGAGGGAAACCATGGACGTTCTGCTTGAGATTTCAAGAATTTTGAATACTGGCTTAGATATGGAAACACTGTCTATTTGTGTACGGCTTTGTGAACAAGGAATTAACCCAGAAGCTTTATCATCTGTTATTAAGGAACTTCGCGAGGCTACTAAAGCACTAAAGGCTGCTGAAAATATGACAAGCTGACTTTCTGGAGAGATCCTGAGGAGATATGTCAAATTCCTCAAGAGAATTTGAAGATTGCATTTTAGTCAAGAATGTACAGTGAAATTACTGCATGCAGCAGTGTAGAAAAATTTTCCTTTTTTAAAAAAGAATTATAAAACCATAGCTTTATAAATCAGTGGAAAGTGGCTCACAGAGAGAACTATCAAATGTGTTTGCATCCCATCTTTTTTTTTTAATGGCCCTAATGCTTTGGCATTGCTATGTTTATATTTATGTATTCCTTATTTATAGCTCTGATAGCTTTAATTTTCTAAGCAGTCTGTCTATCAGATGTGCACATCTGCTGTGCCTGCTGGAAGTATAGTGGAACCCATTAGTATTGATGTGTCGTATTTATGACTTGTTGACATTTCTATTATAAACTTTAATTTTGAATTGTTTATGCATAATAACTGTTGATTTATGTTGTATCAGGCTAAAAGTTGTCAAGATTTTAGCCACCATGTAAGAATTTATATTTAAATTCCACATGTATACCAGAATCTTGTTTTTTAAAATGAGAACATAGAAAACATTTCTTGTAATCTTCTCTTTAACAAAGAATATTTAGTTTTTTAAACAGTTTTTGGGTAGTTAATAGTGTGAACTAGATCATTTTGTATTGATTGAAAAATAAAACTTCTAGAAACTAGATTTTAAAAGTAATAACAGTGCTTAGCTTAGTATTGTTTGTAGTTTGAGTCATTTACATCAAATAAGAATATTAGTTGAGAATGTTTTTCTAAGTTTTATATTCTATAAAGGCCTAAAAATAATGTATAAAGTGAAACATAGCCAACATACAAAATTCCTTTTTACTTTTATTACATAAAAGTAATTGGAATTCTTATCTAATAAATATGATGTATATATATAATAAATCACTAGATAGTGTTTCAATGAATATGTAATATTTTCTGAAGACATAAGGATTTCTAGTCATTAAACAAAAACTAATAAAATGTGTACCAGGAATTATAAGTTTGCCTTTCTAAAATAAAAAAAAACTAAATAATATTATTAATCCATTTGATTAACTGGTGTATTAAAAATAGATGATTGTGAAAACACCTAGAAACATGAATAATATTAAATGGAAGAACCACATATAAAATTGTATATCAATGATTACAAGCAAAGACCATTCTTTAATATAGAGTGGGCATAAATATTCCTATATTATAATAGCTGACGTGGTTATAAATAACTTTTAAATTTTCTTTCATATAAATTTTCTGGATTATGATTAGTATACTTTCTTAAGTAAATATTAAAGAGTTAGAAGGTTTATGATGCTTTAAAATTGACCTTCATCTAATTTTACTGTTTCAACACTAAATGTAAAGGAGAAATTACAATTTTATTTTTAAGCAAGATTCCAAAACAGTAATTTTAGTCTAAATTTTGTATTTTATATAATATTCAACATAAGTTAAATTTAAATTAACCATAACAAGTTAACAGAAAATATCAAAATCTATTGCCAGATAAACAAGGTCAATTCATTAGTCTTGCCTTAATTGTGTTTCTGTTTCTTCCAGATTTTCTACTTGTTTCAGTATCCTTTCTTGTTGCTTTTTGCTACTCTAAAGAGATATCAACATTGTTTATATTATTTTGTTTCAACAAAACTAAAACTGAAATTAATATTTAAAACCTTTATCTGTAACTATAAAACTTATTCATATATAAAGCAAGAAAACGGGCTACTTAATTTGCACAGTTCCATACTACTTTTCCTGGCTTATACTAATTACTTTCCTAACAATCTCTATATCATAGCTAACAAAACTTTTATTTCCCAATGATACTTTGAGCCTCATATCATTTGTTCATATTGTTCTGGTCTGAAGAAATGCAATCTGTTCATTGTCACTTACTGTACTCAGAATTCATCTTTTAAGGTTACCAAGGCAGAAGTGATGGTGTAAATCTGAGAACACTTTGTCCCACCAACAACATAAATGATGTACTATGCTATTTTAAGTTATTTAAATATTTACTATTTTTCTATTGCCATAAACTCTTGAAATGCTATTTTATTCATCATAGTATCCTTCAGAGTCATCTATGACTTAATAATACTTATTGACTAAATATAAAAATCTTAAGCTTAAAATTATATTAACCTTATCTATAAGTAGCCTCTACATTCTGTGGCCCATTATCACCATCTCAGATTAATAAACACATTTTTCTTCTGAAACAAAGTATCAGCTCTAAAATAATCCTATTTTTTAATCTGAAAGAATCTTCAGAGGTCATCTATCTAAAAGCCCCCTAATTTTACAGGTAAGAAAACCAAGTTACCAGTACTTCCTTTTTCAACTCACATTAATATCTTCTTGCTGTTTCTTGATTTCTAGGGCCATATTACTTGTTTCTTGTGCTAGTTCTTTGTTCTCTAGTGAAAGCTTGTTGTAGCTTGCAGTTAATTCAGTATTCTTAAGCCTATTTTTAAAAAATATTTCATACCAAAATACTTACATATAAAATTACATGATGATATGAAATTTAATTCAAAATAATCTTAGGAGAAAGAAGGGAGGGCTAGGAATATAAATAAAACAAGATGGGCCATTAGTTAATAATTCCAGGAAGTAGGGTGTAAGTTCATCCTGATTCATCACATTATTCCCTCTACTTTGTACATGTTTGAAATTTTTACATTTTGTTTTCAAAATGTCATAGTTTCCTTGGTTATGCCCTCATACTCTGATTTCCTCAACCATTTTCACAAACTCTGAAGGACACATTATTTTCTTCACGTAACTTTTTTATTTCTAATAATATGTCTCAGAAATTTCTTCAAACTTCTGATAATTTGATTATTTTTAATTAGATAACACTAGGTTTAACTTTTGTATAATACTAAACTACTGTTATAAGGTTTCAAATATTCCACACTGCAAGACAGACTGCAGTGTGGAATATTTGTTACTGGTTGCAGCCAGGATCAATTTTAAATGAGCACAGAATTGTGTGCTCTACCGAAGGATTTCAGGAGTACCCATTATCTTTTTCTACTTAATACTGGAAATCCACTGAAGTGGAAATAAAATTTTTCCACTAAGCAATGAAAGACTGAAAAAGAAAATGAACCAAAGGGAATATAAATTTATACTAAAGTATTAACTAACCACTCCGATTCATCAAAAGAGATTTGGGTTACTAAATGAATTTTACCCAGTGCTCCTAAAACATACTGTTCAAAGGTAATCAGGGAATGGGAACCAACCAGGAAAGGAGAGGCTACTGCATAAACTATTTACTTCTTATTTTTATCTAGAGCTGAGAAGCAACCAAAAGATAAAAACAATGCTCAACATCAGAATGGCTACCTGAATTTATTTCTCTCAGTAATAATACAATAATTATTTCTCACACTTAATTTCCAAACTAACGTTCATTCAATTAAATATATCTTATTTGGATAATGTAAGAAATAAATTTTCATGTTAACATTTTATCAATAAAACCTATGAAATAATTTAGGAAAAAAACCCAGCTACTTAGAAGTACAAATGTTATTTTGTCAAAAAATAATACCTCCAAAAAGGTAATAGAGTTAATCCCTCTGTGTCTGTGGGTTCTGCATCCATGGAATCAACCAACTACAGAATGAAAATATACAGGAAGAAAAACTGCATCTCTATTAAATGTACAGCCTTTTTTTCTTGGCATTGTTTCCCAAACCACACAATATAGCAACTATTTACATAGCATGTACATATTGTATTAGGTATCATAAGCAATCTAGAGATGATTTAATATGTGTTATGTTATGCATGTTATGTGCAATTATTATGCTTTTTTATATATAAGGGACTTAAAAATCTACAGATTTTGGCATACTCAAGGATCTTAGAACTCATCTCCAAGAGAAAACTGTATACTGATTTTCTAAAGAGGTTTAACTTTGTTATGTCCTATTTTTATGTCAATAATTTATACTTCCTGCCGGGCGTGGTGGCACACGCCTATAATCCCAATGGCAAAGGCAAGAGGATCACAAGTTCAAAAAGCCAGCCTCAGCAATTACGTGAGGTGCTAAGCAACTCAGTGAGACCCTGACTCTAATAAAATACAAAAAAAAAAAAAAAATAGGGCTAGGAATGTGACTCAGTGCGAGTGCCCCTGAGTTCAATCCCTGGTACAAAATGATAATAATAATAAAAATAACTTCCTTTAGCAATGAAACATTATTAGCAATAGTACACCATCTTGATCTTTCATTTGGAATAAAGTGCAACTTGAAATCCATTCATATAAATATTGAACATAATTTCCTAATTTATTATTTATTACCAGAAAGCTTAGCAATTGAATATTAAACAACATATAGATAATGGATAACATACTTCTCTTTCTCAAGCTCAGTTTTCAGATCTTTAACCTGTTTTAAACAATGCTGTTCACTTGTTGCAATGGCAGTTAACTGTATTTTTAAATCATGTACTTCTTTCTGCAAAATAAACATACATACCCAAGGCAAATGTTTTTCCATTCAAAATATATGGTCACTGTAAGTAATCAAGTCTTATGTTTGGCAAAAAACATGTCAGGGTATGCCAAATATTTTAAATTTAAGTAGATTAATGTGATAATCATTTTAATTTTAAAACAAATGAGCAATGACAAATGCAATGTAAATAAATTCTACCTTGATATTGTCAAGTTCAACCAGAAAAATTATATTTATATATTATAAAATATTTTGTCTGTTTTACTCTACCAAGTAATTAATTTCAATTAAAAAGTTATATTATTGATGAAAATGTTAATTAATAAAATCAGGTAGTATCTTAGAAATAAAGATGTTCTTAGTATTATAGACAGTTTTTTATAACATAATTTTGTTTATGGACTGGAAACATACTTTAAATTCTAAAACTATAATATGAGCACTATAAAATATATTACAATATAAGAATCTAACTTAATAAAGACTAAATTTCAAATATACCAGTTAAGAAATACTTAAGACACCAATAAATGTAATTGTTATAAGCCATAACATTATACACAGGATTGGTATCTTAAATGTAAACCTTTCTTTCCCACATTATAATCTAAAAGTTCTCTATGTGTAATACTCAAATGTGATTTTAACAATCAAGTAACTAAATTTTAAATTTATTTTTATTAATTTAAATTTTAATAGCCACATTAGTTACATTTTAAAAGTTAATGGGAATGCATATTTTTTAAAAGAAGCTTATGAAGAAATTTTTTACAAAGCGAATAGTTAAAATATATTTGCAAATCTTTATTCTTTTAATATAATATTTGAAACAAACAAAAATTTATCCTTAACAAACCTCTCTGGTCTGTAAAAGACCAGTTAGTTCTTGCTCTTTTACTTTCAATTCTTCAGCAATCTTCTCGACTTGTTTTTTTTCATCTAAAAGTTTTTGGTTTTCTGCCTATTTAAAAATATAAACAAGTCATTAGAGTCAAACTGCACACATATTCAAAATAATTAAGCTGACAGACTTGTACGAGAACTATAAACTTTCCCGTGACTAAAATTCTTTAAAAGAGAAAAAAAAAGTCATTATTGAGTATACTCAAAAATAAAATATGATGACAAAGGATTTAATTGACAGAGCCCTGTTACAAAAGGCACAGAATTTTAATTTAAAAATCACACAAGCCAGGTGCAGTGGCACATGCCTGCAATACCGGACTCTTAGGAGGCTGAAGCAGAAAGATTCTAAGTTTGAGGTCAGAATCAGCAAATTAAGAAGGCCCTAAGCCACTTAAGGAGACCCTGTCTCAAAATGAAAGACAAAAAGGGTTGGGAGTGTAATCCAGCGATAAAGTACCCCTAGATCTCAGTACTCCCTCCCCCAACGAAAACTTTATACAAATAATTGAATTCAAACCTTATCTATGCATAAATCACTGCAACTTTATTAGCAAGTAGCTAATCATTCACTATTCTACCAACCTTATTTGTCCTTACACTGTACTAAAATGTGCTTCCCTGTAATTTTTATGCAATAGTTATTGTTCTTCCTTCCATAATCATTATAGAAATCTGATTCCTCTTTCACATAATCACTGATGAATATTTAAAAATAGTTATCACCCTAAGTTTTCCTCTTAAGTATTCTAAAATTGCTAGTTATTATCATTTTTCCTATGAATCTTCAGATGGGCTCACTTTATCAACTATACTGTTTTATGTAAAGCATCAAGAACTTAACTCAAATGAGCTAAACAACTAAACAAACACTTCTCAAAAGAAAATGTACATACTGTCAATGAATACATGAAAAGATGCTCAATCTCACTAATCATCATGGAAATGTAACCCAAAATGAAATCATTATACCAATGAGATATTATTTCACACCAGCTGGAAGGACTAGAATACAAATAATAAGGCTGGGGTTGTGGCTAAGAGGCACTGGGTTCAATCCTCAGCACTACATAAAAATAAATAAATAAAATAAAGGTTTAAAAAAATACAAATAATAACAAATACTGGAGAGAATGCCCCCAAAAAGGTCAGGGAGACTCTTATATGGTATTGGTGGGAATAAAAATTAGAATTGCCTTTATGAAAAACACTATAGACACTCCTCAAAAAATTAAAAACAGAACTACCATACAATTCATTAATGCCACTACTGCGTATATATCCAAAGGAGATAAAATCATTATACCAAAAAATACTTGCACTCCCATGTTTATTACTGCCCTATTCATAATGGCTAAAATATAGAATCGACCCAGATGACTTTCAGTGGATAAATGGATAAAGAAAATGTGATATATACATAGAGGAATATTATTCATTCATAAAAAAACTAAATTCTATCACTTGCATCAATATGGATGGAACTGGAGGTCATTATGTTAAGTGAAATAAACAAGACACAGAAAAACAAAAAGGAAAAAAAATTCACCAAATGAGTTTAAGAGCATGATGGAGGTTATAAAAAACAATGATTTTTAATATCAGAACAACAAAAAGATTCCAATCTAAAGAACATAGAGAAAAAACATATTTAAAGAAAATAACGAACACCTCAAGAACCTGTGGAACAATATGTAAAGATCAAACAGATGTATAATGGCAATCCCAGGAAGAGAAAGGGGACAGAAAATCTATATATATTTGAAGAAAGAATAGCCAAAATTTCCTATATTTGAAGAAAATTAAAATTTTACAGATTTATGAAGTGCAGTGAATCTTGAACAGAAAAATTCAACCTCACTCATGTACTGCTTAAAAAATAAAGTTATAACAAAGGGAGATCAGCAGAATAGAGGAAAGGGATCAGGAGAGGAAGAAGGGGGTAGGAGGGAGAAAATGCAGGGGAGTGGTATTAGCCAAAACATATTGTTATATTGTGTGCATGGATGAATAAGTAACAACAAATCCCACCATTATATATGATAATGCACCAATTTTAAAATATTGAGGGAAAAAAAGGTTAAGGAGAAAATCTAGACAATATGTTTGTGGATTTCTAATTGGAAAACATGCAGGATAGAAGACAATAAAACATCACCTTCAAGGTGCTGAAAGAAAAAAACTGTAAACCCACAATTCCAAAGGTAGCAAAAATATCCTTATGAATAAACTAAACAAATGACATATTCAGAATGGAAAACTGATGAGAGAATGTGTCACCAGGAGAAATGCACTACAAGAAATACTAAAGGAAGTGTTTTAGGAAGAAAAAAACATTACAGGTAAATTTGACTCTTCAGGAACAAATGAAGAATATTAAAAATGATAAATATCAGAATAAATTAAAAAGACATTTGTTCCTCTTAAGTTCTTTTAAAAACACAGGACGGTTTAAAACAATATTAACACTGTCTTGTGAGGATGTAAATAAATACATGTAGGTATCATATATATAACACTGCCAGTATAAAGAGCAAGGTGGTAAAGGGAGAGGTGTGTGTGTGTGTGTGTGTGTGTGTGTGTGTGTGTCTGAGGGAGGGAGGGGGAGGGAGAGAGAGAGACACACACACATTTAGTCAAAAGTTTCAACATTTTACATGAAGTGTTACAATATTAACTCAAGGTAGCCAAAGCTATGGATACATCATAATTCCTAGAGCAACCACAGAAATAAATGCAAAAAGGTACAGATAAAATACTGTTAAATAAAAATAGAATGCCAAAAAGTATTCAAATAGCCCAAAAGAAGGGAGAAATTTTAAAACACAACAAATAGAAACTTTAAAACACAAGAAACAAATAGAAACAAAAGAAACAAATAGAAAGCAGATTTATAAGTGATGAATATAATCAGACCAAGTCAACATGTGAATTACAATTTTAAAATACAGTATTAGTCTAATGCCTCCAATTAGCAGAGACTGTCAGAGTGTACAAAAAAGGAAGACCCAATTATAGATAGGCAACAGATATAAAGATATGTTCAATATAAAGACTAAGACGGGGAAAAAAAAGACTAAAACAGGTTGAAAAATGAAAAATATGAACAATAAGCATGAGAAACATGGAGTGGCTATTACAATATCAGTTAAAATATACTTAAAGACAACTAATGTCTTTAAGACAATTATCAGAAATAAAGAGGACATTAATAATAATCAATAGATCCATTCATTAGAATATAATAGTTTTATCAAGTGTGAGGCATATAGAAGAAATTTAAAATACCTATAGTGATCACTGACAGAATTAAAAAGAGAGAGGTGGCAGAGCGCTTGCCTAGCATGTGTGAAGCACTGGGTTTGATTATCAGTAACACATATAAATAAATAAAATAAAGGTCCAAAAAAAATTTTAAAGAGAAACAGACAATTCCAAAACTGTAAGAGATTTTTATCCCACTATCAATAAATAATATAATTGAATCCAAAATATCAATTAAAAACACATAGATTTCCCGGGCACAGTGGCACAAGCCTGTAATCCCAACAGCTCTGGAGTCTGAGGCAGAAGGATCATGAGTTCAAAGCCAGCCTCAGTAACTTTGCAAAGCCCTAAGAAACTCTGTGAGACCCTGTCTCTAAATATATGGTGTCTCTCTCTCTCTCTCTCTCTCTCTCTCTCTCTCTATATATATATATATATATATATATATATATACGCGCCTGGGAATATTGCCCAGCGGTTAGGGCCCCTGGGTTCAATCCCTGGTACAAAAAAAAAATATATATATATATACATATATATATATATATATATATATATATATATAAAACCAACTGGATCTGATATCTTATAGAACACTCAACAATAGCAGAGTACACGTTCTTTTCAGATGCACATGGAATATTAACTAAGATATGCAATATCCTTGGTTTATAAAACAAACCTTATACCTTATCAAATAAAAAAAATAAACTGAAGTACATTTCTCACCATAATGAAGTCAAACTAGAAAGTAATAATAAAAGTAAAACAGGAAAATATCTAAATAGGTGGAAATTCAGCAAAAAAATTCTCAACAATCACAAGGTCAAGGAAGAAATCCCAAGAAAAATTTTAAAATATTTTAACATAAATGATAATGAAAATAGTATACCAAAATTTGTGCTAATAAGCTAAAGAGGTGATTAGAGGACATAAAATGCTTATAGAAGAGTTTCAAAACCATAATATAAGCTTCTGCCTTAAGAAACTAGAATAAAGAGCTGGGCGTGGTGGCATATGCCTATAATCCCAGTAGCTCAGAAGGCTGAGGCAGGAGGATCCAGAGTTCAAAGCAAGCCTCAGCAACTTAGCAAGATCCTGCCTCAAAAAACAAAAAGGGATGGGGATGTAGTTTAGTCGTTAAGCAACCTTGGGTTCAATCACTGGTGGGGAAAAAATGAACCTAGAAAAGGAGCAAAATAAATCCAAAACAAGAAGAAAATAATAAAGAGTAGAAATCAATCATATTGAAAACAGAAAAACAAGATGAAAAAACGAAACAAAAAGTGGGCTATTTGTAAAGATCAATAAAATGAATAAACCTCTGGCAAGACTGACAAAAAGACACAAATAATATCACAAAAGGAAGGATAATGCTCCACAGACATTCAAGGATAATAGGGAATGCTACAAATAACTCTATCCACAAAACTTTAACAAAACTTGGAGTAAATAGACTAATTGCTTAAAAAACAAACACTTTCAAAATCATTCAAAACAAAACAGGTAAAAAAGTTGAATTAGAATAGTTAAAACAATCTTAAATTGGAAAAATCACACCATCCAATTTTAAAACTTATTATAAAGCTATAGTAATCAAGACACTGCAATACAGGCAAATGGATACGCAAGTATGTCAAGGACATTACGAGAGAGTCCAGAAAGAGACTCACATAAATATAACCAAATGATTTTTTTACAAATACAAAAGTAATTTAATGGAGAAAGAAAAGTCTTTTCAACAAACAGAAACATCACCCTAAACTGGGCACAGTGGCACACACCTGTAAT